CTGGCACCTCCCTGAGGAATTCATACTGTTGTGGCTGGGTGACCTTTGGAAACTGGGGGTTCAGTCTTGGAAGATTCTTGCTAGAGGTTGTAGCTAATAAACACAGCTGGACTGAATTTACATGGTCTCTTGGAGTTCCTTGGGCTAGGCCTGACACACTGGGCCCCTTGCTCAGTGTGGGAATCCAAATTAAAGCATAAGTGAAAGATGGCTGTCTACTTTCTCCTTGAATGTATCTAGCAAACAGAAGCTCACCACTTTGCTGGGTACTTAGTTCCACTGTGGAATTGCTGTTGTTATTAAGTTTCTCCTAATAATCAGTCAGAATCTGCCTTCCTGCAGCTTAAATCCATTATTCCATGTCCTGCATTTTTGAACAAGAGAGATCAGATCTGAAAAATGCAATCATAGTTCTCTTTTCTCAAGGCTAAGCATGCCCAGATCCTTCCAACTCTCTTTAGAGGAGTTGGTTTTGAATCTTCAGGTCCTCCTCTTTGCCCTTCCCAGAACCTACTCCAGTTTGTCTGAATTTTTCTATAAAAATGGTAACCAGAAATATACATGATAATCAAGGTGGGGTTTAACAAATGTAGAATAAAGTAAAATGATTATAGTTAGTAGTTCCATTTTGTATTGCTTAATATTAAATGTGAATGCAATCAGTATTACCCATTAGTCATGTACATAATTTCCCCTTTGAACATGATAACATTTGATAATAACTTTAAGAAATTTTTGAGGCCATACCTGAGGCTTTGGGGGACTATAAGTTGCTTACTGCTGCCTAACATGGCATGCTTCAAATTCTTTTCAATGCTTCAAAGACAGAGGACCACATTGCTGGATTGAACCTGTGCCTGAGCATTGGAACTCCCTATTTCATGAAACATGCTTTGATCTCTCTCTCTCTGGTGGTTCATTGCTATTCCTGCAAAGTTCACAGGAAGCTGCTTTGCCTTGACATATTTTGGTTGATCCCCTTTTGGTGACGATGATGATGATAACAGTCTCAGTGAAGATGATTTGGGGCCAGTGCAGCTGCTGTACTGGAACATTTCTTCCATGAGTGATTTTTGCAAGATCAGTTGTTTTTACATTGCTTGGTTTACTGACCATCTCTGATGTTCTGCTGTGGGTGACGTTGCTGTGCGTTTTGGTTATTGGCTTGAATTCAAGAGGGAAGACAGAGTTTGCTTCTCCTGAAACACCTTGTTCCGCATCCTGCACCATTCTCACAATCTCTAAGAGTATTTTATTGGGAAAGATGAGCTACAGAGGCTGGGGCAGGGGGGAGGAGAAACAAAATCCCATTCTATAAACCTCTTCCTCATTCATGGAATCCAAACCATTGATTTTAACAGCTGTTAATTGCCTTTGAGTTTCCTTTTAACAGAAAAGAGGGGTATAAATGTGTTTAAATTATAAATGTCCATTGACTCCACCACTTTCTTTCAAGAATCTCATGAACCAGCAAATACTTGGCAGGTGGCCTGCAGCAGCTCTCCCTAGTTTGGGACTCTCCAGATGTGTTATGACTTTCTCTTTCAAGCATGTGGGTGGTACTGGGTGGAGAAAGCTGGACGGTAATAGAGGAAGTGATCTGCAACTTCCAAATCTCAGTTTTACAGAGTTTCAATGTTTGCATCTTTCCAAAAGTTCAATATCCTCCAGTGTTTCCAAAGATCAGGGACATTGCTTCCCCATGTTTACTACACATGTAAAAAGGTGGTGCTTTGCATCTTAAAAAAAGGTTTCGCATAAAGAATAGCCTCAGACTCCTTAAAAACTCAGGAAAAATAAATTCCCTCAAATTGTGACACTATCTTGGCCACAGTGGGTGTGACCAACCCAACCTTGTTCACTGCAAAGCTCTCTTCTGGCAGCAAATAAACATTAAGATGTCCATCCTTGATCTTGTCTGCATTGGACAACCTTTTGCAGGCTGAGAACCACAGTGGATGGAGGGGTGACCTAAGCAGACATAGTCAAGATTTTATTTTTTATTTTTCTGGGGTTGGGGAGTCTTAATACTTTTTTTAAAATGGCTAGTTTAAGCCTATTTTAGGGGTTACACCACAGTTCTTATGTATTTCTTGCCTTACAATGGCAAAAATATACCCCATACCTTAGTTTTCATCTGCTTTGATCAGACGTGGCTTGGGGGAAGGGCACAAGTCTTCCACTCCTGGTAGGTAGGGAGGTAGATAATTGGTTCACCAAGCCATGCCCAGTATCTTACATCTGGGTTGTTTCAGATCTGTTCTCCAGCCATTATCTACATCATAAGCAAATCTTTTCTTGAGGGAAACTGGATAGCACTAGCTGGTATTGCAAGGAATTATTTTTTTTAGTGAAATCTGAATTGCTTTTAGGCAAACTCTCTACCTGTTTTTTTTCTGCTCAGGTGCAAGATATCAAATTCCAGGCATCAACCACAGAAGAAAAGGAACTCTGGATGAAAGCACTCAACGATGGCATCAACCGAGGAAAGAATAAGATATTTGATGAGGTCAGTTGCCATTCTGACTCTTAGCTTCAGGTTACTCCTTACTTTGCTGTAAGTTGATGTAAAGGCTTCTTCCATTCCCAATTCATTATATAAGTCCAGGATGGGAAGTATATTGAGCCATAAGGATCAATAAAATTGTAGAAAGAGCCACAAGGAAAGAGCCACAAGGATCAAGAAAGTTGTGGAAAGGTGTGATGGTACTCCAACTTGTAGAGAACTAGGTGATATGATACAACTCATGTTCTAATGATGGAAAAGTTCTACTTGTTATGTATTTGGGGAATAAAGCAAAGCAGGAATAGGCAAGTGAGTGTTCTCCAGATGTTTTACACAGTTGTTCCTATACTCCCTTTTCACTGGCCATGCTGACTAGGGTTGATGGGAGTTGTAGTCCAGCATATAGGGTACCAGCCTCCCTCCTTCTGGTATCCAGCATGTGTGTACAGGCTTCTTCAGGTCAAGGGCTGAAAGAGAGGTTTGGAGAATATGTCAAGGGCTGAATTTAGATAGGCAAAGTAAGTACAGTCAAAGCCAAACATGGATGTGTCCAGAGTAAAAGGTAGGCACATGAAGATCCCTTCTATTATTGTTTTCTCTTAAAGCAAATATATTTCCCAAAACCCAGTATATATTTTCATAAAACTCGTACATTTTCCTAAACCAAACATATTTCTCTTTTCATTTAATTGTTTGAAAATCAGCAGCTCCTTTTGCCCTCTTAAAGGCTGGATGACCAGAGAGTGTGCTCTGCATATAGAAGCTAAGGAGGAGACTGAAGGTTGCAGCCCTCAGGCCAAAATTTATTCACATATGGGTAGAAAGAGACAGAGGCTAAAGAAAATCAGCCAAAAGAAATAAGAGCTAAAAAGGGGAGGCTGAGAAAATTGGTGACTGTAAAAGAGAACCATGGGTGAGACATATATGGGTGCCTGAAATGAAATTGTGGTTCTGTGGCTTTTCAGACTTCCTGGCTTCAGGGAACTACCTTTCTGCATTGACTTATGGCAGACATATGCTGCAGAAGCCAAACATGTTATAGAGGACTGGATTAGAGGAGTGAAGTTCTGGAGCAGTCTTTTCCACCTTGGTGCCTAACAGAGGTTCTGGACTTCAACCCCTGACCTTCAGGGGCAGGTGGAAATCTAAGGCATCTGGAAAGCATTACAGTGGGGAAAGGGAAGGCAATGTCAAGGATGATGGAAGTGACAAGAGATCTGGCAGGCCATCTGGACACGTGCAGCAGAGCTGGTGTGGCTCATTGGCTTTTCTAGCTTGAATCCTGTCCAGACTGTGAAGGTCAATCCTCTGTCTTTTTCTTCCTTCATAAACTCTTCTTAAGTTCAGTATAGCACTTCATGCAACCCCTGGGGGATCACCATGATTGCTAAAAATCATCAGTACAATTTTAACATGGGCAACACCAAAGACTGTAGAGGCGGCTCTAGAATAGACCGAAACATGACCCCCCCCCAAACGTTTTCCATAATCCCACCCCCCAAAAAGCAGGAAAAATAGGCCATCTAAGTCCTACCCACGTGAGATGTGCTCTTATCCAATGCAGTGTTTGCCTCCTGATTAAGTGTATTTAGCCTCCCTCTGCTGAAAGCCAGCAGTTGCATTAGCCAGTAGAGTTGTGCTGTTGTGTGTTCGGGGTATCCAAGGGAGATGGTTTATTTTGGCCAGAGGAGCAACTGCTTTGATTGGTCCTTCATGGCCTGGACTACAAATGATTTTGGCAATGGAATGTCAACTCTGAATGAACTTTCTGAGCCTGCTTCCTTCCCCCTCCCCCTGTCTCTTTCTTGTATTCTTTCTCCTTTTGGCTTTGCCATTTAAACCCAAGGGTGGTCTGACTAAAGCATTCTGGGTCTCCTTTTCTGCTGAGAGGGGAATTGGTTCCTCAGACTCACTTGAGTTGGGCGTCTGCTCTCTCCCATTTTTATGATCTCTGCAAGAAGGTTGCTTGTTCTGCCTCCTTCCAGAAGAACCGGATTGTTATTGAGTGTCAGATTATTGAGAGATTGCTGTCTTTCAAATTGAGCTCTGCAGGCAGTGTGCCAAATTGGACGTGGGGCCAGCTGGGAACAGCAAACTAATTGCATTTGCCTTGCAAATCTAAGCTGGAGAGAAGAGGAAGGCAGGATTTGAGCCGATTGTGGCTCATGTTACACGGGAAGGAGAAATTGGAAGAATCGTGTCATTGGGTGATATTGGCAGCCTTAGTGGTATCTGTGGTCTTGCTGTCTGCAACTAGGATAGAGCCAGAGAATTTGTAGCTGAGGATGCCCTGAGTTACCACATTATCAAGTCTGGGCATATATATATTATTTTTATTATTATTATTATATATATATATATATATATTATTATTTTTTTTTTTTTGCTGGCATGCACACTAATGAACTTGACCTGTCCTTTGGTGACAGCATCCAAAGAGGACTGTCTCCTAGGTGAACACATTTCCAATGCAAGTCATGCTGAGGACTTTTCCAAAACAAGTAATGCTTTGGGGGCGCCATTAAAAAAACCAATTCTATGAAAGGAATCGCGAAAGAGGGCTAAGAAGGGACCTACAGGCCAGATTTTCCTTCTGCAAGCTTGTAAGATTACACAGATGTACACCAGAAGATAATTGGGCCCTGCTCTTCGTTGACATTGGAGTTGCTTCATGCATAATCCATCAATTTTCAGCACGGACAAGAAAGGAAGAAAGCACATTGTTTTGCAAGTCCAACGACAGAGGATCATGGCACAACATTGAAGCAGATGCTTATATTCAGTCTTGCCACCTGGTATCATTGATGTTGGCAGTATTTGCTTGACACACTTACCTAGCTCAGTGAAAGTCCTAGTGGCGACATGCATACAACATACCAAGCTCAGTTAGGCATTTCAGTGGCTGAACATGTTGTATGAATCCATTCTGTTTGGTTGGCTTGCGGTTCAGAGATTGAGCCAAGTCTTATAACATTGGGACGATAGCCCTTATTTGGCAATATATCTCCAACTGTGGTATGTACTTCCTGGATTAGTTTGTTAATCACAAATCTCAACAGAGTTGAATTTAAGTTTACAAAAGTTGATTCACAGTGTTGTCCATTTGATTTAGTCTTTCCTTAGTGAAAATACAACCATTGTGGCTTGTAAACCAAGGTTTATGGATTGGCAAAATATATAAGTCAAGCCAATCTCTGGCTTGTTTCAGTGAATGATCTGGGTTTACGTAATCAACCATAGTGGGCTAGGTTTTCACATTATATGAAGCCAAAAGCATGTTAGGGCTTGATGGGTTGAATAGATTAATGTGTGAAGGAATTATTCAACCTCTTGTATATTTTTCAGTTTGAGAAGGCTGAACTGTAAGGTGTTTGTTTTGAGTCATTCAAGAATTAAATTAATTAAAACAAGAGTAATGCCTTTTTCAATTTTCTCTCCTGCTTGAAGGTAAAAGTTGATGAAAGTCTTTCTCTGGATCACGTAACTCGAGGCAGAGCCAAGATAGCTCAGGGTCGTCGTCCACCAACCAGAAGCCATCTGAAAGAGGTAATTGTTGGGTCACCACCATCCAACATGATTTTTATATAAGTTTATCAGAATGCCCCTTTATCATCTTGACAGCAATATTCCTATCTATACTTTGTGTTCTTTGGTACTGCTATTTCTTGTCACAAGAGGGAAGGGTCACATTATCCATCCCCAGCTAATTTTGATCTTAGATTGGATTTGCGGCTTGTATGATTATTTGAAATAATCCTACATACCATCTGGATGCGTCCATGGATTATTTCAACTGAGGTTGCCGCCTCAATATAAATCATTTGTTCTTTACTGACATTGGTCTTTCTTAGCTGCTTTTTAACCAAAGTGTCATATCAAAGAAGCCCAATAATTCAACTTCCTAAATAAAATCATGATTAAATATTAAAATCCAGAACAAGGAGTAGGCTGAGAAGAAATCATTACAAACTGGTGAAGAACTGGTAACAGAGGAGCTGAATGAACGTCTTAGTGCTGGAGAGAGAGTTCCATAATCTGGATATAGCTACAGAAAAGTCCCTGTTTTGTGTCACCACCATCTAGAACTCTGATGGTTGTGATACCAAGCAAGACTAATGTCCCTGGGGAGACTTTTACTGGGAAAGGTGGCCCTGAAGATATCCTGTATATGTATAGACGCATACATGCACTGCATCTGGTTTATAGTTAACAATGAATTTGGAAACAGCATGAACCAAGTCTTTTCATGTACCAACTATCCTGTTTGCTTAGCGTCCCTATTCTCAGCGAGGAGTTCAGCTTGCTAAGTTTTCCCCAAGCAAAATAACGACCACCCAAAAAATGAAACAAGATAAGGTCTAGCAACAGTCTAGTTGTCAGCCCAATTACAAGGAATTCCACCCACTGTAGGGTTCAAAAGAAGAGAAGATGTGGGCCCAAGAAGTCAATCATAGGGAACAAAGTCAAAATTCTGGCAAGCATGTGATCATATTTAGACTGCAGAACTCCAGATGACCACCAGCTGGCAGCAAAGAGCAAGAGGTTATTGCCATCTGACGGTCATCTGGATTTTTTTCTTTTTTCTTTTTTGGCAACCTTGATATGGTAGCCCTAACAAAGGATAAAGATATGTTCCAGCTCCATCTATTCCAAATATGAGTACTCCATGGGGCCCATTGGTTGAGCTGCTGTGAATGTATTTGGTTAACGAAAATGTAATACTTAAAAAAACAAACAACCATGCATGGGAGTCACTCTGAAATTGTGCAGGACAGGTAGGGGTTTTTAAAGCTGAGATTTCTTTTGTTTGGTCAGTAGCTTTAATTCTTTAAAAGTTATGGGCTTGAGGACTAATTCTGAGATCCCTCTAATTTGCTTTCCTACCTAGGTGGCTAGTGCAATGTCAGATGGGATCCTGAGGCTTGATTTAGATGTTCCAGACAGTGGACCTCCAAACAGCATCCTAGTGGCAAGTGAAACTGCTGAAACTCCTCCTCCAAAGGAGACTCATAAACCTCCAATGCCTCCTGCAAAAGTGCTCATGCCTCCTACAGAGAAGCTAAGTGCCAGTTCTACCCCAGAAGATCCACAGGTCAAGAAGCCCCCAGTACCTCCAGCTAAGCCTCTTAAGGAGGTAGCAGCACCCAGTGAAAATATGAACTCTGTGGAAGTAAGTGATGCAGAAGAGGAAGAATACGACGCTAGTGAAGACTCTGATGGGGCTCCATTTGAAGAAGATGATTTTGTGGAAACCATTCCTCCAGTACCTCCTCCGAAGATTTTATCTGACAAGATGACGGTAACATGGGATCATCCTGAACCTCATGAAGCTGAAACTGAGAATCAGGTAACAGCTGGCAGTGAAGAGAATAGCCCTGAATTAAACAAGGAAACCATCAAACCGCCGACTCCTCCTCCTAAGATTTTTAGAGTCGCCTTCAGCTCCAAAGAGAACAACGCAGAGGTAGACACTTCTGAAGGCGATTGGCAACCTGATGAAGACTCAAACCTTGCAGTCAATGGCATTGATGACAACAGAACAACTGAGCCTGCTTTCCAAGATGAGAAGGAGCAGAATGATCATTCCTCAGAGCAAGGAGCAAAGGAAGAGCGATTGAGCCTACCTTCTGAAGAACAGGCTGACGTATCAGAGCCTGTGGTAGGTTCTCCAGCAACCAAGCCTCGCAGCTCCTCTCTAGGGGAGTTGCTTTCCGAATCACCCAAAAAGCCTCTTCTGCGGCCAGATTTCCAGCAGGGGTCTGTTCTCCACGTGGTACGGATGGAGAAGAAAATTGCTTATGAAAAGGAACGAACTGAAAAGCTACTGCAGAAGGTTCAGTGTGAAGGATTCAAGCAAGCCCAGAAGGGCGAGGGACCCCCAGCAGATGCAGAGGAGCTGCTAAGCGAAGCAACTGAACAGCTCCGGCAAGCCACCCAGGTCTTGCAAGAGGTGAAGGATTTAGGGGAACTGAGAAGGGAACCTACCAATTTCCGGAAAGGAGTCCCAAAGGACCTAGTGACTGTTTATAGGAGAAGCGCTCCCTAGGAAGGAACTGAATTCTGAATTGTGACTTTGCTGAAATGTAGCCAGGGAGCACAATTTCTGCCAGGCTACTAGACCAGTGTTTTAAAAGTGGGTGGGTAGGGCAGCAGCTGGGTCTTACTAAGCATTGCTTACTTTTACACTGCCGCTTCTGTAATCTCAGATTGTGGGCTGGATCCTGCTGGGTGGGGTGTGCTAGAGAGGGATTTGGGGTAGAGGGCCTCAGGGAAAGGTCTGTTTTTGGAAGACAAGCAGTAACGGGAAGACGTACCGTTTGAGTTTGAAACGAGCTCGTCCACCATTTGAGAAGCATTTCCAACTTGATCGAAGCCTCTTCCCAGTTCAGAATGAGGGCGTTGTGTTTGGGGTGATGCCATGTTGAGCGAGGAACACATCACGTTGGAGCCGGAATTTTGAAATTCCAGTGCAGCCTGGCATATTTCGAGTTAGAAAAGTTTTGCACAGCCCGAGATCCTGTCCTTCTGCTTTGTTCTCGCTCTCTCTCTCTGGGATGAGTTTGCAAAGACCGTGCAGAGAGATCAGCTGCAGGATGAGACCTTAGTAGGTTGGGTGGGGAATGAAGCTGTAGCACTTTCTAATCTTTTTTTTCACTCAGGGTTAATGCAGGGGGCACGTGGGAGGCAAGGCTGAAGCAAGCAGTGGGTGGGGTGGTCTTGGGTACCCCTTTTTTCTTCTTTGGGATCCCCCCTTTTTTTCTTTTTCTGACTCTCCTTTTTCTTGAATGGCTCTGTCGCAGAGGGCTTTCTGCATGCCCGTTCCAGCTTTATTTATTTCTCCCAAGCCATGCATCCTTGCAAGTGTTGGCAGTGTGCACGCCCTGCACTCAGAAACATGCACACTGACCACCAAGACAGCCAGTGATGTTTTGGTGAGGCTCTCAATATGTAGAATATGGTCGCACTGGACAGTTTCTTCTTTGGCTATCTAAGTCTTGTCCTGCCAGGGATGAAATTGAACTACAGCACCAGATTTGGAAACTGTCCTAGTTCACACGTCACCTACTTGCTTGGTGTTGGCTTACTATGTTGTGTGTTGCTCACCTGTTGTGGCTGATTCAACGAACGATGGTTATGCAAAGCGTAGCTTAGCACAGCATGTGAACCTGATCAAACTCTCGAGCAAGCCATAAGGAATAAGAAGCCAAGGAAAACTTCAATTTTTTGCCAGGGTGACTTCCCACTCGTGTGAAGAATAGGCATGGCATATATTGGAGAATCTGTGTGAACAGGGCCAGTTCATGCAAAACTTACACGCTCAGGCCTCTCACGCACACCGTGGAGGGTATCATCCTTCTTTTCCACCATGCAGTGGCACTCACCTTAGTAACAATATCAACTTTGGGGAAATGATTTTTGAGATTACAGGCTGGGAATACATATTCCTATGGTTCCTTTGGTTTTTGTTGAATGTTGCTTATAAACTGGCTAAGTGCATCATGGAGATCAAGCCCAATGCATATTTGTCAGCATAACAGACCATGGCTTAGGGTGAGGTCATACGCACAGTCTCCCTCTATGTATTGTTGCCGCTTTTTACTCGCTTCCATTAATAAGCTTCATTTCCAAGACCCTCATTTTCAGTTCAGCTGATGACTTTTTCGATAGCTTTTTAACTCTGGAGATGACCACATTTTTGCCACTGGGAAACCTTATGACTAATATTTCCCTATCCTTCAGAAGTCATTTAAAAATGTGACTGAGCATAAAATTGGTACCCAATTATGAAATAAGGAGTTGGAAATAAACATTTGCATATCCAGGCAGGATGGAAATAATGGCACTTAGTGGATTCTGCTCTGGGTTGGCTTCCTGAAGACAGGATCCCTGGAGACCTTGCTGAAATCATCAGAGGACTGTTCCTGCAAGGCAGAAAAAGTGAAGGGGGAAGATGAGTAACTTTTATTTAAGCAACTTTCTTCCTTTTATTTAAGGCAGTCCAATTAGGGCCAGGCATGTTCTCCCGGTACATCTCAGAGCTGGTTTGCACATTGCACTGAAGCATGCAATGGTTTGTTTGCCTTAGCCTGTTCTGTTAACCCAGCCAGTTGTGGTTTATTCAACAAACCATGGTTACAATAACCATGGTTTATTGCCATTGGGAAGCCTAACCGCTGGGGTATGTCTTATGGCAGACAGATACAACTTTTTGAGGCTGAGAGCCATGCCCAAAAGGGGCAGAGTCAGGACAAAGCGTTTGGGACTAGATGAACATTTTAAATTAATTGAATAGAGTCAGCGTGATAAATATTCCCCCTGAATTTAACGTTTATTTTCTTTTCTCCTATTAAAAATTACAATTTGGTGGCAACTGTTGGAGAAGCTCTAGGAATGCCTTCAAGGCTTTTAAGTGGTGCCAACTGGGCTTCCTTGATTTATGGCTTAGCATTAGGCCAGCTGGTTATGGTTTGTTCAGCAAACCACGATGGAGCAAACCATCACTTAATGTGATGGAATCAAATTGATCTGTGCACCTTTTCTGATTGCAGCCTCAAGGGATGAACCTTTATATGCAGATGATTCAGGACAAGTAAAAAACTCTGTCTTCCAGCATCCTCTTAAATAACATTTTCTTGCAAAGTCAGTCTTTTGCACAGCTGAACTGCAAACCATCCCCCATCCACAAGCCACTTCATGGCTTTTACAGTCTCCATCACGGGGCCATTGAAAGCCATCATTCCTGTTGATCGCTGTCAGCGTTTCTCTGTAGGGTTGCGCTCTGTATTCTGTCTCACATGTCCTTCCTTGCTTTTAAAACCATGGTTTGCATGCAACTGAAATCCTGGCTTCAGGTCTCTTTTGAGCACCTGGGACCACTGAGCAGTTGCCAGAGCGCACTTCTGTAACAAGGCCACTAATTGGGGTGGTCTTCAACTCCACTGGTGCATTTGCAGGCAGGGCTGCCCATATTAATTTCCCAACAGGGCTGTGGTGGGGAGGTCCCATGGACAGCTTATAAATGTTCATCACTGTTGCTCAGTAAATTCTGGCTCCAGACCCACTTAGCAGGCTAGAGCTCCCTAGACAGCATTTTGCAAGAGGATCTTCAGAACCTAAGCCCTTTCTGGTTTGAATAGGTGAGGATGGTCTCAGAAGAAAAGGTCCATTTCTCTTCAAAGATGAAGTTGATTATGTCTATCTGCCTACCTGCTTGTTCTTCTTCTCAATAGGCTCAGCTGGCCAGGAGCTTCTACTTAATGCAAGTCAACATCAGGTGACCATGCCAAGTTTTGTGTTTTTCAGATAAGGGGCAAAACTGGATTCCTCTCTTTTAAAAATAAAATAGATGCAGTTGTTTTGCACTAGCTGTTTATAATATGGAAATATGGAAATAGATATTTTGCTTAGGGCTATTTCACAGACTTCTTTTTTAAGTATATACCTGTAACGGCTCATGTATTGAAAATGTACAGTTATGAATGTAACAAACATATGTTTGGAAAAGAAAAAGGACAACCAAACCCAGTTTACACATGCCAGCTTACCCATTGAGGACTGTGGTCCTGTGTATCGTAAAGGCTAAAATGTTGGCCTTATCATAACCCAGTACTTTCCCCTCCAACACTTTGTACATTCAGCCAGCATGAAGAGTAGATGGATGAAATGTTCTTCATGCCTAGGTGAACCAAAACTAGATTTACTCAGCAGAAAGCTAGCATTGCTTGCAGCTTTCCAAGCAAATGTGTGCTGAGGTGCAGACCCAAATTTGCTGCTATGGAGTGTGTGAATTGGTTATATTTATCCAGGTAAGCACTGAAGGAAATACTTGGAAGGAACCCTGACTGTTAGGGTAGACAATCTGGATTTCTCCATAGGTTGCTGTGCTTCAGGTTCTGCCCTTCCTGGCCAGTACAGCCAGTGGTCAAACATTGGAGCTGTGGTCCAGCAGCATCTGTAGATCCGTAAGCTTATCCACCTATCCTGTATATATTTAATGAACACCGAAAAGCTGATATATTTTCTCAAGGCGCTTCTATAACAATCTTAACCAGAATGTAACTATGGATTCTTTGACATTCTTGTACTTTCCCCCTCGGATCTGAGCAGAATATTGTACAGTCTGTACTAATAGTATTTTAAATTCTTTTTCTACACTGTCCTGTAAATAACTGAAAACTTCTTTTGGCATGGATTGAGTATTTTGTTGTGAAAAAGCTTTCAAAAATATTTATCCAGAAAGAGGCTGCAACCTTGTTTGTCACTGAGGTGGTCAGCCCACGGGTTGAAAATCGCCCACTCTGATTCTTCCAGCCCTGAGAACTTCTTAAAATATAAATATATTTTTAACAAGCTGTTTCGAGCATCTCAGTTATTTGATTTGCCATCAAAGTCCACTTGTTAGTACGTTCCCTCCAGACTGCTGGAGCTCATGCCACGTTACAGCATTGAGAAGGTCATCTTTGAAGAAGAGCAACTGCTAAGTGATGGGATGCTCTGAGGCCATTAGTCTATGATGGCTTTGATGCTAGTGAGGATGATCAAGGACAATGGTTGGGTAAGTAAGAGTTTTAGTTCAGTTCTAGCCTCCTGAAGAGGGGCTGGGCTGAGACTAGTAGGTAAGCGAAGAAGGTGACAACTGAGGGACATCACATCCAGAAGAACACCACTAGTTCCCTTATCCCCTCACTTGCCTAGAGGGACTCTTGTAGGTCCATGTGGTGAGTTTCACACCCAAGCTGAACCCCATTCACTAGCCTTCTCCAACCAGAAGTGTCAGATATGCTGGAGACCTCCAATTTCCAGCATGATTGGTGGGCACCAAGTTTGATGTGGGTTGTACTGAGCTAGGAAATCCAATTGTCTGATATGGTGTGAGGCAACTTAACAGTTCACATTTTATTGGGCAGCAAACAACTTCAGCTAGTCAAAAGATAAATCACCACACAGTTCTTTGCAATGGCATAGGGTTTAGAGAAACTGCCAAGGTGATGGAGGCACAGGCCTGCAGTGAAATACTGACTGCCTGTTCAACTAGCAAGAAGTACCAACGCTAGCAACCTCAAGCAAAATGCTGATATCCAAATTTACATAAAAGTTGTACTCTGGGCCAAGGACTTAATTGCCTTAATCCTAAATGAGCGCAATCCATCTGGCTGTTCTCTTCAGCACTGTTCTCCTGTGTATCTCTCTCATGTATTGAAAATACCTTCTGAAACTGGTTCTTCCGATCCAGCAAAAGCCAGTTTAAATCAAGGGATGTAAGTAAATCTCATCCAATGAAATGAAATTGGCATTTAAATATTTAGACTAACAGAAATGACTCTTCATGCAATGGACAAAAGGAAGGGACAAGCAAGTGGGTGTCTTCCAGAGGTTTTGGACTACAGCTCTTGTTAGCCAAGCCAGGATGGCCAGTGGGACAGGCTTGTGGGAGTTACAGTTGATTATTATCTGGAAGGCCCCCAGCTCAGCTATAAACCAAGGGGGGGGGGTTAAATCACACAGCCAATATTGCACTGGCCAACATCAACATAACTTTCAGAGGAAGAGGAAATGGTAAAGGCAGTGCCTTCAAATACCATTGATAAACAAACAGAACCTAAACATACATCATTTATATCCTAGACCAAATACTAGGATTTCAGTAGTAGACAGAATCCCAAAGGGCTCTTTGTCCAGTGATATATTTTTATAGCTGATTAACATTCATGTGGTTTGTTATTGCAAGCCTTGCCATGCATTTGCAGACTGGTTGAAGGTGAATGGAAGGGTCCGTGTAGCTAAATTCTTAAATTTCCTGGGTCAAGCAGACAGCAACACTAACTATGGCTAACAACATTAGGAAAGTGTTGCTGGATGAGAAGTTCACCAGGAGAAGACAACCTGGGCCTTCCACATATTTTAGACAATACAGTAATTCCCATAATTCTGAATCATTAACCAGGCTGGCTTGGACCTATGGGAATTGTATTCTAGAACACTTAGAGGACACTAGGCTCAGCAGATAGCAAACCTGCCCAACCTTTTCTGGACTTGGAGCCTAAACTTGGTCAGATCTGTTCAATGCTTACATGGGAGGACCCCCGGGAGATCCTGAGTCTGTAGGCTAGAGTGGAATGTGTCAAGAACACCCTGGAAAGGGGCAATGACATATTGCTTCCCTATGGTTGCTTGGAGGTGAACGGAGAAACATGATGCGTCTGTGAAGTCACCCCAAAGCAAGCTTGACTTGGTGACTTCACCCCTTCTTTTCAAGGTTGATTTGATTTTCCTGTTATTTCCAGATCATCAGCTTATTTTCACCAATGGACAACCAAAGTAAATGATGGAATGCAGAAAGAAAATATAGGGGAGCTGAGCTGCAGGGCTGTTTCAGAGCAGAAGCCCAAGTAAGCGGTGGAAACTTCTTGCTCTGGCACAGTGTTGTCCAAACTTGGCCACTTTAAGATGAGTGGACTTCAACTCCCAGGATTCCCCACCCAGCTTCACCCCCCAGGATTCCCCAGCTGGCGGGGGAATCCTGGGAGTTGAAGTCCACTCATCTTAAAGTGGCCAAGTTTGGACAACACTGGTGTAGGGAGTGGAAAGCAAGACGTCCTTGTTTCAGAGCAGTTCTCCTTTCTGGCACTCAAAGGGGAATAGTTCAAACAGGAACAGGAAGTTATAGTCATTCTGGGTC